AATGGTTAAATAGAAAAGTAAGAAATGGACGTATATTAGAGTAGTAAAGATATGTTATTATTTTTAAATAAAATATAATATGATTAAAAATTAGTAAGAATTGAGATGTGCTCTAAAGGATCATAGGGAATTGAACTGAAAGTCTAATGATTGTATAGTAATAATAAAACATGATATGGAAAGTTAATTAATGTAATATGAATATAAATTTAAGAGAAAAAGACTATGGATATTGTGCACAAGACATATGTACCCGCCGACACACTGTACAATTGAAAGAAGGTTTTATTTGTTGTTTTATGTATTATGTTTTGTGTTTATGTTTGTTGTTAAAAATAAAGTTTTACATTTAAAAAAAAAAGGAAACTGACTTGTACTTCTGATGGTTTGCTGTGTCTCATCCCCGCCATTCTGCAACCACCGGACCAGCGAGGTCAAAACAGACGAATCCAGATTCACTCAGCAACTTTTTGGCTGCGCCGTCGATTCACTTAAAGACAGTGGCCAGAAAACAGGGGCAAAAACTCGCTCCATCGTCTCTCTGAGCGACATAGATTTGGGGGGGGGGGGGCTCAGTGGTGGCCGTAAGACAAGGACTCCATATATCTCAGGCTTATTTCCAGGGTGGCCTGATTCAGAACAGGCGAAGGTACCAAAAGATCCAGAATGGATCCAACTCAACTGGCTTCCACCATCCTCCACGCACGCCCCATAAATTAGAGAAGTATGCTTCCATTTTAATCCATGCTCTGATTATTTAATGGATAGATAGAATAGAATTCTTTTATTGGCCAAGGGCAATCGGACACACAAGGAATTTGTCTCGGTGCAAATGCCCTCAGGGTCCATAAAAGAAAAGAGACATTCGTCAAGAGTCAAGAATCATCAGGTGCAACACTTAATAATAGTCATAGGAGGTTTTGCTGGGCAGGGATTCCTGGTAGAAAAATTTGAATTGCTGGTTTAGAGACCCAACCAGAACAGAACCAAAAGTCCGTACAGAGCAGGACATGACTTGATGGAGTCTTTTCAAAACCGGACGGGTTTTTTCTTTCTTTCTGATTTCCTTCCAATTTTTTCTTGCAACAATCCACCTATTCAAGGCAGTAGCCCCAGGGTGGGGTGGGAGGTCTGGAGAACCGGGACCCCTCCCAAAGCATTTCTCTGGTTTTTAGTTATGTTTTTCTTTCCCTGTTTAAAGACGTTTCCCCCCCCCCCCCACCCTCTTTACAAGTCGGGCTTCAGGAACGGACAAAACAGAAGGCTGGTGCCACCCTCTGTTGGTGTTTTCCAGAAATGACAGAGAGACTGGGAACGAAGCAAAACCAGCGGGATCGTTGTGGTTTTTTTTAAGGATCGGGAGAAGAGAAGAGAAGAGAAGAGAAGAGAAGAGAAGAGAAGAGAAGA